AAAGTCTACGTCTGCGACTCAGTTGAACCCATTACACATAAAAGTGCCGATGAAGCATCTACAAACTTGGGGACGTGATCGTTGGGACCACTAGGCAAAGCCAGGAGGCGCCTGTGGGGCTTCAATCGTGGAGGGCCTGGTCGCCATGGGCCGACAGCATCGTGTGCTGCGGCTGGCTTACAATCTCTGCCGTGAGTGGACGGCGGTGAACTCAACACCCTGCCCCCCCTCTCTTGTTTTGGGTAAATAAGGGAGGCAGGACGACACTCTGCGGTGGCGGTGGCGAGTTCCCGTTGGAAATACTTCGCTGTTGAACATGAGTTGGCACACCAGCTGCGTGAGATTCATTTTATTGCCACTGTTTGGCCATTGGTGGTATTGATCTGCTGATTGATGGTATTGTTTAGCTGTTTCTAAGTCCTGGACTTTCTTGTCAGCTGATTAAGGGAATTGTTTTCACACTGCTCTGACGATTGTCTAGTGGAGGCAGGTGGAAGGTTGCCCTGTTTGAGAGCGCTCGCCGTGAGCTTTTGCCGACACAGCTGTGAGCTGAGCCGTGAGCTCGGCGTGCGCCACCGAGCTGCAGTGCAGGTGCTGCCTGCGGGCTCGGGGTGGGGAGGGTTTGTGCACGGCAGGGCCGCTGGTTCATGACTCCTCTTTTTGCCCGACTCATTCCTCACGCGTGGGCCGTCTTTTAGTTACGGTTGACAACTTCCTCTCATCGTATCCAAAAGGTAAAAGACAATAATATCTGTGTGTCAGGCGTGCTACCCTCTTTCGCACTGTTCTCATCCTTTGAAAAATTTCCTTTTCAGTCTTGCAATGAAATGTTCAACTAAAAGTGGCATTAGTCAATTAAGTCAAAGTACAACAAGGAAATCCATCCACGTGTATTCCACGTTGTACAAGCCAAACACAACATTTTTGTGTAGGTGGTGCCTAATGCACTCTTTATCAAGACCACTGCACCACGCAGTTAATTGAACCTTATAGCGGGACCACGGAGTCCCGAAAAACAAATCATAATTTATTTATTTTTGGCGACTCCGTCCCACCGCGCACGTAAACGCCGTGACCCACCATAATTCAATCCTCTCGTTCTTCACCAAGCACTCGTCCTTGCAAAAAATTCCGTAGTTACAAACAAAACTTTAAAACTTTGATTAAAACATCGTGTAGAGCTCGTCGTGAGGAACAGATTGCCATGTCGTTCGCCTTCAACAGACATGAAATGACGTCGCAACGCAGCTTATGCGAGAGCCGGGGGCTTATGGGACCCCGGGGTCCCTCCATAAGGTTCATTATTGTCGAAAGCGTTTTTACATTTTCAATGCTAGATTGTAAATATCTAGTTGTTGCTTAGTTATTTACTGTGGTTACGTGTAAAGACAATTCCAATGTCGTTATGCACCTGATAGTTAATTATTTACAGGATGCCAGACATCCCTCACAACCAGAAGGGCTCTGCCCCCCCCCCCTTAGTCCAGCTTCCAGAGGTTTGGCTGCGTTTCACGTTGTGAATTTCACGACAATTATTGGCCACGCCTGACCTTGGAATTCAGCTAAATCTGGTTTCACTTCGTCGTGCTGCGTTCCGTGTCATTAGGGAGGCTGTGCTGTTTGTGAATTTTTCTATCCACTGGTCCTTTCAGGAAACGTGACGTCAAATCCCTTGCTGGACCAGGGGGCACGCTCGTGTCTGAGACAGGCAGGAGGCACGCCAGGGAACTTTGTCATCGCAACGGCGAACCTCTACATGATGTAAAAATAGCCGAGTCCCAACAGCGTTCTTACCGCTATATGTCATGACGTGCACGCTCATGTGACCATCGTGTGACATATATACGAGCTAAATATAACAGCCTAAATGGATGTGTTCAGAGATTGCGTGACTGAATACATCACGTCACGTGACATTCCTCAAACGGTTTCCTTGCTTGGGTCGCGCTCGCCCCATTATCGAGCGTGAGTAACCCATGCCGTGGTTGTCTCACGTCTAGTCAGCGAAGGAACCGATGTAAATCTCACTCTCTTGGGGCGTTCAAAGGGGGCTCCTTATCGTCAAGTAGGAGCTGGACATGGGTAAAGTTGTCAGCCATCTAGCATGCCTTTATCTTTTGGAAATGTCAACAATGGGAGATGGGACCTTGATAACGATGGCACGCGCATCTCTCGCTTGCTTGACGTCGTCGCGTCTGCATTGTTCAGAACGTCAACGCAAGCGCGGGCCCGGAAGTCGCGGTTTGTGGTGAGCGCCGGTGAGCGCCGGTGAGCGCGAACCCTCCCAGGGGCAACTGCATGCCCCCTTTCCGTAACTAAAGGGCAGCCGTCTACACCGCCAATGACCGGCATCGACCCTGGGATTACGGAGAAACGCGAGAGCCACGACTCAATGCTGCCCATTACCTTGTAGCTTGTTTGTCAAAGAGTGCTGCAGCTGAAGTTAATGCAAATCGGTAAAAAAAACATAACTTGTTACGATTCTTGTGCAAGAATGTTATGCACAATAAAATAACGCCACACGATACTTCCATTTGCAAAGTAAAGTTGCAGTGGATGAAGGCGCTTCTGAGAAATTGCCACGTTATGTCAAATGCACTTTCTTCTCACGATTGTGTTGTGATCCTGCTCAAACTTAATGATAACGACCAACAAAGTGCACGCCACTGTAGAGACTGGTGAAGCGTAATGTTAAGAAATTCAAATCCCGGTTTGGGAGGTTGACCCAGCCCATCATTCCTCCAGGGTTGATAAATAAAAAATGAGTGCCAATTTGTGGGGAATGCCAACAGCGGCAGCCCCATGTACGATTAGACTTATGCCCGCTAAAAGAAGGTGGAACGTACACCACTGTAAGCGGATGAGCACCAATGCCTCAATGGTCATTTGAGCAGAGTATCACTTGAACCATTTGTAACCGCCGCAGCTTGTGCGGCCAGAGTGAGCGGTGTACCGAGGAGACGCTCCTCCTGTTGTACGTATGTTGAACTTCTTTCGCCCTGCATGAAGACAGCCGTGCTAATCGGAGTTGCGGGAGGGGGACGGACAACAAACTGTTGGGGATGATTGGCTGTCCCGGTCCGTAGGAGACACAATCACGGCTGTCACCAAGCCCACAGCGCAACGCGCTGCAGGTCATTTAAAAAAAGCCTTTCGCTGAAACGCTCACTAGGAGACAAAAAAAATGTCTGCGACCCCCGTAACGTTATATTCTTAGCTATAAACTGTGGGAAAAAATAATTGTATTTAAAACTTTCATTGGGTGGGGGGAGGTGGTTGACGGGGTGGGCTGGGGTGGGTGGGGGGTGGGTGGAATGCCCATACACTGGAGCGGCGGTGCGATGCGAGAGATGGGCAAACCGTGCTTCAGCGGCTGCCCGCGGTTCACACGGCGGCAGCGGCAAAGGCTGAGATAGAATCATCTCAGCGAGCTGCCGGGCGTGCATTTCTAATGGGCTCCCGCTGCATTACAGAGAGAACAAAATGAAAGGGAAAGTGATAACTGCTGATAAATGGAGTAAATAGTTTAAAAAACACGGGGTTTTTTGACAACGATAAAGTAACATTATTGCTAACAAATGTCCGCTCATAAAAGGGTTTGCGCACACCACACGCGATGTGAACTCCACCCGGTGTCGCATGCAGGCTTAGAAGGTGCAGACTAACCTCTCAACCCGTTGCCTTTAAAGTGTAATTGTCCGATGGAAATGCCCGATAACGGTCGAATTACCCAATGGGATCAACAGTGTGTGAGCCTGAGATCTGGCGACAGCCAGATGCTATAACCTTGTCGGAGATTATAACGGCAAAGGAATGGCGACGCGTGGGCTATGCATTTAAATAGTCCAGTCAACATCGCGGCAAATTTAAATGCGTGTCTCAATCATAATATTCACACTCTATTACAGGGTTTAAAAGCCATATGAAGGCGATAGTTTAAATAGAAATAAATATTTTTTCACTTAACATGTTGCTTTCAACGGCTGTTTCAAATTGTACGGGGCAATGTTATTTTTCTAAATGCCCGTAAGTGTCATAACCCGAACGAAATGTGAACGGGTATAGATGTTTAATACCGTCATGCAGACAGTCTGAGCATCACCAGTGACTTTAATACCCGTTGTGTTCTCAACACAATTGGATATTCCATTAAATAAAAAACGTATTTTGCAAATATACATACGACTTTAAACTCCTCCTATAATTCTTTAATGACAGCTTGATGAGGACAATTCCACACTGCGTGGGGATGAAGATGAATGCCTCACGATAATTAACCTGCTCAGCTGCATTCTGCACAACCACTGTCCATGCCATCGCTCCTCCTCCTGCTCGTTGCTCTGAGCACCTGAGGGGCATGGGGGGATCGCTCGTGAGCGCACGGTACCTCCTGCAACGTAACTCGCGTCACAACAGCACCCATCGGCAAGGGAAACTTTAATACAGCCTTCAAACAAATAGATTCGTCTTCAAACTCAGGGAATGCGCATCGCGTGGACCAGAGCTCTCTCAGCCTTAGCCAACTCTTTGAGTTTGGGGGTCCAAATGATGAAATAGATACACATTCGGTTATTTTGGGCTGGTGGTCTGGTTAAGGCTTTTGTACACGCAATGCACTTTTCTGAGCGTGGTGTTAATTCTGTGCTTCTGAAGAGTAGACGATGCTGCAATCTCACCACAAGCATCCATGATGCACTTCCCACCTTGGGACCTGGACAGTCCGGGAATTAGTGTCCGTGTCCGTGCGGCAGGAATGGAGTTGTACCCAGATCTGGTATCTGTATTGTGTTGAACTTTCTCATGGATAGCGCTCAGTTTTAATCATTAACGCCATGCTGGCTGAGAAATATGTCCGGCTTTGCTCTACAGTGGAAAAGGTGGCAGCCCCAGGTCACCTGTAGGCTGTGAGGAATTCCAGCGCCCTTGGTGGGTGGGTGGACGTGTGGCTGAGCGAGCGCCGTGCATGTGCGTGCGTGTGTGTGCGTGCGCCACATGCCCAGGCTCGGCGGAGGGGCTGGCGGAGCGCGAGCACCAGCTCGCCGGGATGATCTCCCAGCTGAGCAGCCTGCGCGAGCAGCTCCTGGCCGCCCACGACGAGCAGAAGAAGCTGGCCACCTCGCAGCTCGAGAAGCAGCGGCAACAGATGGACCTCGCGAGGCAGCAGCAGGAGCAGGTGCCCCCTCACGCCACGCTCGCACCGTGCGGCACGACGCTCCCCGCCGCCCTGCGCCGACGCTCGGTGCGGCCCGCACGGCGCTAGACGCGAGAGTCCTCCACAGCGATGGCGGTGTCCCTCGTGTGCGGTTACTGGCGCGCTGGATCAGATAGGCAAGGCGGGCGGCCCAGCGATCGCAAGGCTGGCGAGTTCTAATCCTGGTCGTAGGTTGGCTCAGCCCATCGTTCCTCTGGAGTAGATACAATGGTAACCACGTTGCGGGGAAGTCCACGGTGGTTGTCGTTTGGAGCGACTTGTCCGCACCATAAGATGGGCAATTTCCACAACTGGCTCAGGGCTGTAAACGGGAGATGAACACGAATGCCTCGATGCCCAATTGACCTGGAGATCACTCTGACTCCTGTTCTTGCGAACACCCATGCAGTGGTAGACAACTATAAATCAGCGCATTGCTGAACCATAGGTATGCGATGTGCAGCTTTAAACAAATTCACGTAATTCATATTAACAAAGCAATGGCTATAAACCAACCATTTAATGAACTTGGCTCTTATTTTGATAAACAAGGTGCAACTAAGGGTGCTAACAATCAGTTGCAAACGCACTTCTACTGCTTCTGTTGCTCCTGCGTGGGCACCAGCAGCCTCGCAAACAGCTGACTTGAATGAGAGTGCCTGGGCACCGCGATGGCGTCGTCACACAGCGGTGCAGGGCGCTCACAAAGCCGGCCGCTTGTGGCCAGCACCACCATCCGCGAGTTGTGCTCGTGCGCCGTGTGCACTCCTCAGTGGCAGATTAAGTTGTCATTTCCTCACGAGGATGACTTGTCACAGCACTGCACGCGTCAGCATTTTATTGTCTTTTCGACTTGAAACGAAAATATTCTCGGAAAAAGAAACTGAGAATAATTTGCCTGCATTTGGGGTTTTCTCAAACATTTCCCACACTTCTGTAATTTTTTTTTTCGTATGGAATAATTAATGTTTGTGTGCCTTCCCTCCAGACGTCTTTGGTTTACATTTGTACGACACATAATACAAATTGGCCTGTTAGAACCCACGACCTGGAAACCAGTACACAGAGTCGTTCCTATAAGATGTGCCTCCCGCTCGCCACGCGTCGTGTACGACACCAAACACGCGTATACCTGCACTATTCCTAAGCTGCGATGTTTCCGCAGAGGGGAATCCGCAGGTAACACATGCTGCTGCTGCAGCAGGACGAATAGGTTTCATAGCGGCACTTCTGGCTTCACATCTTGACCACTGGATATGACGATGTACTTCTCTGCTTGGAGATATCCAACAATTTTAATTCCAATTCAATTTTAAGCTCAGAGCTGGATGGGCACAGCCCATTATTGCCCTGAATTCAAACAGACGGACTACTCACTACTCACTCACCACAATGCAGGTCACCACTCACAACAACACACTGGCTCACCCAACTACTCACCACTCACTCACCACACTGCAGGTCACAATTCACAACAACACACTCGCTCACCCAACTACTCACCACCCACTCACCACACTGCAGGTCACAACTCACAACAACGCACTCGCTCACCCAACTACTCACCACTCACTCACCACACTGCAGGTCACAACTCACAACAACGCACTCGCTCACCCAACTACTCACCACTCACTCACCACACTGCAGGTCACAACTCACAACAACACACTCGCTCACCCAACTACTCACCACCCACTCACCACACACCAAGTCACCACTCACAACAACGCACTCTCTCACCCAACTACTCACCACCCACTCACCACACTGCAGGTCACAACCCACAACAACACACTCGCTCACCCAACTACTCACCACCCACTCACCACACACCAAGTCACCACTCACAACATCGCACTCGCTCACCCAACTACTCACCACTCACTCACCACACTGCAGGTCACAACTCACAACAACGCACTCGCTCACCCAACTACTCACCACTCACTCACCACACTGCAGGTCACAACTCACAACAACACACTCGCTCACCCAACTACTCACCACCCACTCACCACACTGCAGGTCACAATGCACAACAACACACTCGGTCACCCAACTACTCACCACACGCCAAGTCACCACTCACAGCATCGCACTCGCTCACCCAACTACTCACCACTCACTCACCACACTGCAGGTCACAACGCACAACAACGCACTCGCTCACCCAACTACTCACCACTCACTCACCACACTGCAGGTCACAACTCACAACAACGCACTCGCTCACCCAACTACTCACCACCCACTCACCACACTGCAGGTCACCACTCACAACAACACACTCGCTCACCCAACTACTCACCATTCACTCACCACACTGCAGGTCACAACTCACAACAACACACTTGCTCACCCAACTACTCACCACTCACTCACCACACTGCAGGTCACAACGCACAACAACACACTCGCTCACCCAACTACTCACCACCCACTCACCACACACCAAGTCGCCACTCACAGCATCGCACTCGCTCACCCAACTACTCACCACTCACTCACCACACTACAGGTCACAATGCACAACAACACACTCGCTCACCCAACTACTCACCACCCACTCACCACACTGCAGGTCACCACTCACAACAACACACTCGCTCATCCAACTACTCACCACTCACCACACTGCAGGTCACCACTCACAACAACACACTCGCTCACCCAACTACTCACCACTCACTCACCACACTGCAGGTCACAACTCACAACAACACACTCACTCACCCAACTACTCACCACTCACTCACCACACTGCAGGTCACAACGCACAACAACACACTCGCTCACCCAACTACTCACCACCCACTCACCACACACCAAGTCGCCACTCACAGCATCGCACTCGCTCACCCAACTACTCACCACTCACTCACCACACTGCAGGTCACAATGCACAACAACACACTCGCTCACCCAACTACTCACCACCCACTCACCACACTGCAGGTCACCACTCACAACAACACACTCGCTCATCCAACTACTCACCACTCACCACACTGCAGGTCACCACTCACAACAACACACTCGCTCACCCAACTACTCACCACTTACTCACCACACTGCAGGTCACCACTCACAACAACACACTCGCTCACCCAACTACTCACCACTCAATCACCACACTGCAGGTCACCGTACTTCTTTTTCTGCTTTTCCCCTCGCACCGCTACACGTTGGAATTCTCTCCCCCCATCCTCTCTCATCCCAAGCTCGCACAACAATAACCTTGCTTCAATTCCACAGACGTGTTCACGCCTATCCCTTTATGACGTTGACGGTGCCGTTGTTGGCCGCTCCGTCGATGTTTTTTGGCCTTTGTACCTCTTGCTTGGCCTTCGTGCAAAAGAGAGAAGGCACACGCGCACGTGCCAAGGGGCCCCAGTGATCGTCCTCATCCCCACCTAGGCACTGGCCGCCGTCTCCCGAGCGTTTGGGACTCGGCTCAGCTCCGTTCGTTAATCATCCTCTCCTACAGCCTCGCTCGTTCACGTGGCTCGGCGTCTGTCACCCGATCTCTCAGTTGTGCGAGTCTTCGTGTGGGAGAAATGTGTGATTTTTTTTTTTACGGGAGCGATGCCGAGTCAGTAGATGCAGTTAATTAGTTATCACCACAAACTGCAGTGGTATATTAATAGAATGTGCACGCCTTTATGTGTGTGTGTGATGAATGAGATGACAGATCGATGTCTAATAACACATTCAATTACAACATTAATTGGCATGCATTTGGGATACACGTGCATTCCTTACAATTCTTAAATGTCTTTAATTTTACGTAAATGTTGTCTGAGTTATGAAGCTAAAAGGGCGGTAATTATGGAAAGTAATGCGTGTAACAGTTGCTCCATTTTTTGTATTTATTGTAGATGGTGGAAAGTATTTTCCCATGTTGGTACAAACCCTGGTCTGGGAACTCTGTTGACGTTTAATATTTTAAATTGTAACCACATATGTGTTTGCATGGGAATTCCATGCACGATTAATAAAACACCTTAAGCCCGTGATGCTCGCTAAAATGGGGAGAGACGCTAAAGCAACTTTTGCGGGGCCATACCCAGTCAATATCTTCCACCTGGGGCATTGCCACCGCCATGCACGCTTCACAGTGTCGTGCTTCTCGATGCCATGCTTCACAATGAGCTTCCTTGATCGGCAGTTGTGACACAGCACAGGACTCAGAGGCTGATGTATATACACATAGGTATGTATATATGTATATGTATAGGTATGTATATATGTATGTATATATATTAAACAGAGTTGCTGAGTACAAGGCTGAAGGCCCAAAGCATCAAGCAGCCTGCAATAGACAGCAGTATTCTCAAAGCTGGTATGGGCAATCTGAGTTAACACGTTTCTTGAATCGAGCAAGGTTATTAGGATTATTATTATCAGAGCCTGGGGAAAGAGTCAATGGGAGTGAATTACAAATGGGAGCAAGATGAGGGAAGAAGCAGAATGAGAAGTATTGTGACGTGCAGTGTGGATGAGATGAAACAGTCAATGTGGTAGACTGAGTCCTCAACATCATCATGATCATGATGATGTTGAGTTGGATGACTTGTCTGGCACCATACTTCGGTTAGAACTGTACAAGACTACGGAAGAGGCATTGTAAACAAGCGTGTCTCTAGTTGTCTCTTGCGAGATTCGATTACTGGTACGAGTCCGGTCTCGGCAGTTAGGCTGCTCCATGCCGCAGGACCAGCGCAAAAGAGCCAAACATTTATATTTGGGAATGCTCGGCTCCTTGGTCAGTTTTCCAACTGCGTCCGATGACACGGATCGCAGCGCGACCACTTCTCTCGCTTATGCTCGCCGCTGGAAGGCAAAGTTTGGCTAATATCCGCTGGCGCCATCCAGTGTAACACCTCGAAGACTGTCGCGCGCAGCTCGTACTTGGACCCTGTCTGGACAGCGAAGCCAGTGCAGTTGGTTCCAGAGGAGAGAGGTGATATTCGTGTTTG